GTATCTGATTTCAAATTTAAGCCATTATCTTGCATCTTAATATTAAGCATTTCAGACACCATCCTTTTCCCATAATATCTCTCATCATCCAAAATCTCCGTATTCGACCAATCGAATTTATGTTGGAATTGTAATCTGTGTTCAGAAATTACAGATAAATTACCGTTCTTCTTATTAATGTCATTTTTATGTTCGTTAATTCTCGTCTTTAATTTACGGCTAGTCTGTCCGACATAAGAAGCATTGCAATCTTTACAATTTATCTTGTAAACAACATTCTTTCTAGATTCGTGAGGAAGAACATCCTTTTGTGCTTTTATAATACCGTCCATTTTATTTAAGCTAAAGAACGACAATTTAACATCAAGATTTTTAATGATGTTCTTGAATTTTTTGTAAACGCAAGGTAGAAAAGGAATGGTAAACTATGACGAAGTTGAAGTACCAGTCTTCGGTTTATTTGTTTGTCTTAAAGTCCTACGTTTAAAAAGGGATCTTAATCTTAAATTGATCGTGTCAGAAATAAAGTCAATAGGATAATCATTGTCCAAAAAAGTTTTAATAATATAATTAAAATTGTCCCTATGGTACCTTGGAGAGAGAGAGAGAGATGAGAAAGCAAAAAGGCTCTGTCCACCATGCTCATAAGAACACCTCTTTTTTGTGAAAGAGGATGAAGAAACAAAAAACTAAGATACCTTCTAGAAAAAGTTAATTTATGATAAAGATTAAATTCTAATTTACCTTTAATATTAATTATCGTCACATCTAAAAAATTCAACCTGTTACCCCCAACCTCCAAAGTGAACTGTAACCTTGAATGAAAGGAGTTGAAAACTTTCAAAAATTCATCAATTAAGTGATTTGGAATAGCAGTCACGATATCATCTACATATCTAAAGTAAAAAGGTACCTCAGTTCCAAATCTCTCCAAAGCATAATTCTCTAAATCTTCCATAACTAGATCTGCAATGATGGGAGACAACGGAGAACCCATGGGTGTTACAAATTTCTGGTAGTAAATTTTTTTATCAAAACTAACAAAAGTAGACTCCAAAACTAACCGCAAAGCCTTAGTGAATTCTTCTTTTGATATGCTACAACCTCGTGCAATAAAATGCCATCTATTTAGGACACTTTTTATAGCCAAATCTAATGGAATGTTCGTAAACAATGATATCACATCAAGAGAAATTAAGGAATGTTCATTCCCCAAACAAAAACTATTCGTTGCAGTTAAACAGAGATGTATTAAACAGAATACATCTCTGTTTAACTGCAACGAATTTGTTAACTAAGTTAGGAAACAATAATGAAAAAATTTATTTGTTAACTAGGCTAGCAAATGATAACGACAACCAATTT